GAGAATTGATACTCGGTGACCTTTTTTTGGCAATAAGAGTCAAAACTGTATTGTTTGGTTGCTATCTGGTAAAATTTATAAAAAACAATAATAGAAAATTTAATTCGAATTTATTTATAAAAAAAGAATTCTTAAACATTTGTAAAAACAATTACGTTTATCTTATAATTGTGTGCCACGTCGCATTTTGAATTTTTTTTTAAAGAAATTTGTTTCAAAAACAACAACGTGTTTTTCCTCGAGAGATTTTTTTTAAGGAATTAGATACCTACAAATGACGTCATCGTAGGTAAATCGTGTCATTTGTCGATTTAGAGGCCAATCAAGTGCGACATACACGCGCGACGTCGCTTGCTGGTATCCAATTAAATATGATTTTAATCATATGGTAAGGCATAATTACTTCATTTCCTCTCGTGTTGCAACTACCCATTTCCCCTTTTTAAAGCATATTAAGCTGATGAAACTTAGATCGTTGCATAAACTGTTCTACACACAAGTTTTTGGCTCTTGAAAATGTTAAGCAGGACCGAAAAAATCACGTTAATTCGCTTAATAAAATCAGGGTAATTTTTAACTGTGTTCTTTGTTTGCCTTGGTGTTGTGCAATATGAATTCTTGTCGCCCAACCAAGCAGACATTAAAAATTATTTATTTGAATTATTTTCGGCGTTTGCGTGAAGCAATTCGTCAAAAACGATGACTCATTCGGCCCGAGTTGACTATTTGAATCAAGATTAAACACCTTCTCACACTGGAGTTACTAATCATCGATTTTTGGCAAGACATTCAACATATATGGTCTCACAAGCACCGTATTTTCCTAATATGGATAATAACTTTTTCTCATTCCCACATTTGAAATTGCCTCTACGAAATCGAAGGACCGTCACTAGAAGATTTTTAAGCATGTTTTGAGGAAACTCGTTAAAATAAAAAGTTCACTTAGTGCATTGAAGTCCGATAAAAGTATCTTAAAAGATATGTTAAATTTCGACTTATCTCTTAGACTTTTAACTTATGCCACCATTCGGAGTACTTTATTTTGATTACGGTAGTATTTTGGAGTATAAGTTAAACACGAACTGATAGAAAAAAGGAGCTGACCAATTTTTATTTATTTTTTATATTTTTTATATTTGTCCGTTTTTATAATTTGATTGTTCTTTTATTCCTTTAAAGAAAGATCGGAGTTAGAATTTATTAACTATTTACTGCACAGAGTTTCATTATGATACAATAAAATATTTCGAAAAAGGGGATAGTATTGTAAGTCAAATTTTGTTAGGTAATACGTCTTTTAATACATTCAGCTTTTCAAAGAACTTTCTAATTAAGTCAATTATGAAAGATTAAAATATCATTTTTGTTTATGTACATTTTAGAAAATATTTAAACCGTATTGGTGTCAATTATTTTAGCCAAATTATGCAAGCAAAAGATTGCAAACTTTTATGCAGACCGGAAATACTACCAAGTGAGTTATTCGAATAACATTTTTCCAGGAAAGAATTTAATATGAGGATCCTTTTTAATTCGTTTTGCTACATTATCATTAATATTTTCAATTGCGTGTCTTTAGTGAGCGTGATCACGTAATTACTGAAATACCTTTGTTCAACGGTTCTGTTGCTTTAATACTGAATATTTTATGTTTTGTTATTATTGTGTTTTTAATGATCACTTTTCCTGTTCTAATATAATACAGAATACATTAAGCTACAATGAGAAAAATTGTTAATGGGCTACTTATCATTTAATGTAATTTTTATGACTTACAAGTGAAATGTTAGGTGCGCCAATAAAAAAAAGAACCATCCTGAATACCTTTTGATCTAATAATTGAACCTTCACGTTCTAGGACTCAATCTTAATGGTGACCTCAAATATGCTAATTAATTAGTGCAGGCGATATTTTAAGTTACTAAATCAAACACATTTTCTCTGAATAAACATACCTTTTTTTCGACAGATTTTAATTTTTGACCCCCAAAATGTAAGGAGTAGCTGTAATCTGAGAAATATGATCCCCATAGTTTTTTTATTTTTTTTTTAAAAAAATTCAGGAAAACTACGTATTTATTCAGGAAAACTACGTATTTCTGTCTGATTTCATAAATTAAAATAACGTCTGCACTGATAAATTAGCATATTTGAGGTCACCCCGTGAACCTAAGATTCGAACTTGAAAATCCGATCATTGGATCTAATGTTATTCAGGATGTTTCGTTTTTTTATTTTGCGCACTGTTCACTTCCTTTAATAAGGAGATGATGTTTATTGTAGTTTCCTTCAAAATACGACTACGTATAAATTCCTTCAAATTTTGAAATTATTTTAATAACTATACTAAATTAACATGTAATATTTATACTAAATTATCATGTAATATTCACTTGAAATAAAATTTTAGAATTCATTTTGTGAAATTGATTAAAAAATAAACCCTCTTTTATATAATTGCTATTTCTTCATTTTGTTTTAATCAATCAATATTACGAGTGGGCAACCTTTTTTCGGAAAAATGTGTGTAGAAAGAAAAAATAATAATAACTTAGTGTAGATAATAATAACTTAGTGTATCATTTGCCCTAAAAATTTATATATAATATTTACCAAGTATGTAATATAATATATTCAATTTGAACACATGTTGTATATTTTTGCAAAATGTCTTCTTTATTGAAATTATATTGCAGTAAGTTTTTAACTTCCTCCGTGGAAAATTTAATATTATAACTTTTTTACTGTATAAATTAGTAAAATTATTTACGTAATTCTACCTTTTTTTAAAAAACAACAACATGTTTTTGTTAAAGGAAATTAAAAAAAGAAGAAAGAAAAAGAAATCCAAATGCCAATAATTCCGGATCCGAGACTTAGAATTGATAAACACTACGCCCGTGACAGCTCTTCATTGATCATTTTTTTTTCTCTTAAAAGTCAATGAGAAATCTTCTTTTCGTCGCTTAAAAAATAATTATTATAATTTTATTTGAGCAAATTTTAAGAATATATTGATCGTAAGGACCTAGAAGATTTTAATTGTGAAATACTGAATGTGCGTGGCAATAAAAGGTAGAAAGTGAGAAATAGTTTTACTTGTTAACAACGTATATCAATATAGCTGTTGGAATTCGAAACAGTTTTTATTTCTCTTGATATCTTTCTTTTATATTATTGTAAAAGATTTCGACACAAATGTTATGTCGATTTGCTCGATTTATGTCAGGCTGCATTTTATCCTTCTTTCTTATTTTTTTATTATATTTATTCATTTTTCTATTATTTTTGACATCAAGTGAAGCGTAGGCTCATAAAATGGAAGATCGCGAGACAGTTAAATTTTCTGCAACAATGGATAAACAGTTATTAGTTAAAGCAAAAAAGTGAGAAAAAACTCGCGAAAAAGTACTCGAAATTTCAAGCTTTTGAACAAGTTAAAAAATTTTTCTTTAAAAAAAAAAAGAGAAAAAGAGAAACGTATAGCCCCTTTATCATATTAAATTTCAACTTTGTAATCGCATTTCTATGGGCTGGAGAACGGTTCCCATAGTATTTTTTTACTTCAAATTTAACAGTTCATGAACTAACAAGGATCATGAATTAGGAATTCATGAACTAATTATCGAATGTTAATTTTTTTTTGTATCCTCACTTTCTTTGCACTTTTTTATATACCTTCATAATTTCAAGTTTCTAAATCTAATGGTTTTTTGCGCAACAAACAAAATGTAACGTAAAACCAAAAGAAAAAAAATAATAATATTGATAATAAATAAAATATATAAAAAATGTGAAAAGAGAATTTCAAAATTGCAATAACTTTCGAACAAATTGCAATTTAAAAAGAAAAAAAAGAAGAAGAAAAAAGAAGGGAGAAAAAAAAAACACGTGTTAAGTTTATAAACAAACATGGCCCTTTCAGTATGCCAAACTTTAATTCTGTTGTTGCATTTCTGCGGTCTGTAGTGCGCCCCGCATAGTTCCGTGTTTTGCTTCTGGTTAACTGTTAATAATTTTCACACAATTATCGAATGTTAAATTTTTTAATTCCATCATTCTACTTGTAAATTTTTCTACTCACCTTTATAATTTAAAATTTCTAATTCTTTTAGTTTTCGCACCATAAAAGAAAAAATGTAAAATTAGGTTGAATACCCAAATGAGGAGCAGCGGTTACCCTTACATTTTTTAATATGGAGAGATTTTTATTTTTAATATATATNTGTCAGTTATACTCCAGCGTTTAAAAGTATAATTTTATTGCAAGTATTTATAAATATAGTTATATATATATATATATATATATATATATATATATACGAAAAAGACAACAAAAAAACGAAGAAAATTGAGAAAAACAATAAGTTTTATTTTCTGCGCATAAGCTGCAAGTAATTAGAAAGCACTTCTTTTTGCGGATATAATCGTGTGAGCTGATGAAAGATTATATCTTTTATTTTCCGGATTTTTATTAATTTTTTTCCTTTTTCTGCATTTTTTTACATGTTCTCTTTTCATTTTATACACACACACACGCACACACACACACATATATATATATATATATATAATGTTGTAAACTAAAGGTCAAATTTCATATAATAGAAAAGGAGGCAAATGTAATAAAATATATGCAAAAAAATATATAATCTACAAATGTGATAAACATTTAAAGGTGTGGAAAAACAAAAACCATTATATTTCGTTACGAAAGTACTGTAGAAACATTCCTGCGCGGAACATTTTTCAGAAAATAACTCTTAATTCGATATGTCTGACTGCTCTAATTTTCTTGAAATGCTCGATATTGGATTCACGTCTTCTTAAGTGCCATTTCCTAAACTATGCTATTAGGATATATGTCAATATGGAAAAATATCTTATTTCTTTACAAAAAGAATACCTATATTTAGAATATTAGGTATAGTTTCCTCCCATTCCACTAGGTGGTCGGATCGATATGGTGTGGCCATATCGATTGCCCTAAGTTCTCCCATGACGTATTTCCGAACCTAAAAGAATCTCCATGTTGTATCGCGAATGAACATAAATTCTATATATCCATTGGTTGTTTATTCAAGATACAATCGCCATGTATCCTTTTATCGCAATATTCAATCACCTTTATTAGTTTAATTAATTTAACTGTTGTCATGTTTTACATTTCCTGCAGACGATTCAAAGGAAACCTTACCATCTGCTTTTTACATTTATATTCTGAAAGTTTCATAATTTTTCTAATTCTTATGCAATACTAAAATTGTGTTCTGTCCTGTTCTTATATCTAATATTATTTATTTATTATAACTTACCGTGGTTTGATAAGCCTTTTTTAAAAACTCAAAATCGTATAATTTAATTTTTTATTGCATGCAGTTTCACGAGTTATATTTGAGTTGATAAATTTTTTATTACCTTCATTATTTATGTTTACGTTATTGCATTTAATAATTTCAGACATCATTTAATTATGGGGAAATTAACATTTTTTAAATTTTTACTATTTGTACAATTACTATTTTTTTTTTTTATATTGAATTAAGGTATTGTGTAATTACTCTTAATGTTCATACCTTCGCATGTTATAAAAATCATTTAATCATTTATGTTGTGTCGAAAATTAACGTTTGTTCTGTATATCCATTGGTTGTGGATTGAAGATACTATTGCCATTTATCGGTTAATTTCAATCCTTCATTAATTTAATTGTTGTCTGATTTACATTGACAGAGACGCAGACGATTTTGGGAAACTGAATAATTTGATTTTTTTCATTCTCATTCTGTCAGTTTCGTAAATTTTGATGCAATGCTGAAATTATGTTCTATCCTGTTTTTATACCTAATCAAACAATTAATAATTCTTTTAATTGCTGCAGCTTTAAAATCGTAATAGATATTTAAGTCGGGCATTAAGTGAAATTTTTTGTCCACGTTTGTACAATGCTGATACTGTTAATTAGAACTTGAAATTATAAACATATTATTTGATTTCTGCAGTTCTATGATTTATATTTTACTTTATATTTTTTTTCCTTTAACGAGACCTACTTTTATAGTTACTTTTAACTATTTATAGTTACTTTATCTATAACTTAAATTTTCTATTATTGTTATAAGTTTTTATTATTATTTTTTTTTTAATTTAAATATTAGCAAGTTTCGTATATAAAGTATTTTTCGATTTCATATTTAAAATGCAATATGTAATGTAATGTGCAATTACTGTAATCTCATAAAACTCTTGTATAACTCAATCATTGTACATTGAAAAATGCTTTGATTTGAAAAAGGTTTTTGGACACTGTCTGCATGATAAACTTGACTCTTATTATCGACATAATTCTGAAATAATCTTGAATTCATACTTTCTTTGTGAATTCAGATCAATGTGATGCAACACTATCTACAAGTTTCTGTAATTATTCAATTTGTTTTAAAATGTATTTTAATTTTTTTTTCTTTCGTTGAATTATTCATTTTGTCATTTTTCTTTTGGAAATTTATTTATTTGTTTAAAATTATTCCTTTAAATATACAAGTTTATAAATAATGTCGCATTATTTAGTTAACTTTCATAAAAAAAAATAGTTATTGCATTATGTAAGTCATTTTTCCGTTTGTTTTTATCCAAATATTTTTCATACGTAACTTAAAATTATTTTTTTTATAATATGTTAACGATGTTTGCGTGATTCGTGAAAATTGTAAAAAATTTAAATATTCTAGCTATATTTTTAAAGATTTAAAAAAATGCACGCACGAAAGAAAAATGGTTTCCATATTTTTTGAAATTATCTTTCTTTTTAATTTTTATTCTACTTTTCATAATCACTAATAGTGCTTTAAAAATATCCAGATTATGTTATTCCAACTACTACTTCCTTCTTTTTTTTATAGCCCCGGTTTTTTTATGGTTTTAAAAAATAGTTTTCTCAAATATTAGAAATGACATCTTTATTGCACGGAATATATGAAAATAATTCACTTTATAAATAAGCATTTTTGTTCTTGTGGAATGAATCATGTTAAGTGCGTTTCTTAATCACAGACATATTATCAATTGATCCTTTAGTTACTTTCATAATATTTATACAGTCATTGCTATCATTTTTTTTTCTCAAAATAATTGATTTCCTAATATTTGTTTACACTTTTTCTCTATTTAGAATAGCTGATTCAAATGTTTGAGCTTTCTTTTTCGAGATAACTTTATCAGGCGCATTACCTTTCAGCGGTAAATTTATTTTGCATTAAATTGCATCTAAATCAAATGACCCGAAATAGTGTAAAAAAATTTTATGTATTATATGGTTCAAAAAATTTTCATTTTCAATATTTTACAGAGTGGTAGACGTTTAAAAATCAAATCTTTCAAAAATTTTGGTAATTTTCCGAATATTTTAAAAGTCTCACCAGAATGAGCTGGAACAAAGTGGTGTTACAAATAAGCTTTTGAATCATTTATAGTGGTGTGAAAAATAAGTTTAAATTAATTGAAAATAATACAATAAAACATTAACTTAGCTACCACTAGAATAGTTCTTTACTTTACAAAAGCGTAGAAAGTTGGTAGCCCTGTAAATCCGTTATGATATTTTGTATTAAACATGCATGCAATATTGACTTAATATTCTGAATTATTATTTTTTTTAATGTTTTTTTTCGAAAACTATTGTAAATTAAAACTGTTCTCTAAGAGATTTTTGTTAACAATATTTTAAAGTTGAGGATCAAAATATCCTGTTTTTTTTTTTTTTTTTTAAGTGCAGGTAGTATTGGATGGTTACGGATTCTTGAGGAAATATTTTCGAAATATTAATTATTTTTCGAACATAAGCTATATTTTGTCACGAAATAAAGATATTTCCAGAGTTAACAAGATGGTGATAACTTTGACGCTTCTTACTTAGCTGACATCATGTTAGCTTCTCTTATAAGACAACATCTTATTAACTCGAAGAGGCTTATTTTTTTTAAATTAACTTATTGTTCGCAATGTAAACAAAACATAAGGATGTTATTTTTACATTATTCTACGTGTTTAAAGTTATATTTAAAATGGCTATTAAATGAAGTTCTGTGCAAATAAACGGTTCTGTGGTTGATTAAGTATATTTTCTAATAGTGATCCTAATAATCATTATTTTCGGTACTTACCTAATTTTTCTTTGAAATAAAAATGCCCGGAAACGTCAAACTATATTTATTTATTCAAAAACTATAAGCTCCATATAATAAATCCTGCGTTTTGAAGCAAAAACTATTAGTAATTTATAGGTTGTTAAATTTAATAAATTGGTTAAGTTTCTAAGTCCGCTAAAATAGAATTTTGAAAATGTTAAATTTGTGTTGCGAATCCATATTGCTAAGCATATAAACGTCAATGCAAAAGATGTTCTATCTTTTTCAGTTTTCATGAGTTCCAGCTTATACATTAAGGAAAACGTTCCTAAATGTGCAGATTACTGTAATACGTCATGATGAAAAAACGAATTTTTGAAAATATCACTTTGTTGTTCTACCTTATATGACACAAAAGAAATGTTTTCTTAGTTCCTTGTTCGAAAATTACGAAGTTTTATTCTTTAATGTTATTTTTCTCTTGTATATATCAGATATAAGATATCAGGACTGTTTATAAATATTATTTTTGTATTCTTTACATAATATTTTCTTTAATTTGATAACAGATAGAATTATATTTCAATATGGCTAAGGACACAATATATTTGTGCAATTTCCGAGTCTCGGTCGATGGTGAATGGCTCTGTCTTAGAGAATTAACAGACGTTCAGTTTGAAGCTGCTAATCAAATTCCTCCTTTGCCCAAGCCTTATGAAATGAAAGAAGGTCTCTATAGCCTCTGTAATAAGTGTGTTCAGGACAGGGTGCAAATACTTCATGATTTTTTAAGATTGAAAGAAAATCAACGAAATTTTTAAGTTCGTTTTTTGGATATTTTCAGTTATTACTTACTTTATTATTTTATTATATATAAGACGTCGGATTTAATGTACGCCTTGCTACGTGTATTTTAATTTTTTTTAATCGTCGTTGAACAGTCGACCCAATTTTGAGTTTACGACTACCAGTGTTCAACTATGTAGCCTTGTAATTTTGAACCCAATCCAGTAGACCAGGAAACTCATAGATCAAGTAGTTATGACTTTTTGATATCACCCGCATTTGTGTTACAGGGGCAGGAAGCCCACAAAAACCTCCCATGGTTCGCCTGACGGCAAAGGGACTTCAACCTATGATCCGTCTGCCACTGATAATATTTTACTTCAGCACTGTGGTCAGGGCTAGCCGGGTGCGGAATTCGTATCAGCCAGCCATCGCTGAGATCGACCAGTCACCGAACTGACTAACCCCGGCTCTCCGACCAGCGGTGTAAGCTGCTCCCTTAACCGACTGCACTACCAGAGCGCTCAACATTAGAACATTCTTTTGAAATTATATATTGCCTAGAATGACAAATTTTATTTTATAAAAAAAAAATGCATTATAGTAGTAAATGCAAATATTAAATAAAAGATAGGCATTTTATATTCGCAATCCGTTCAAAATATGTGCTTATTACTTTTTTTTTAAAATTATTTTCTCGTTTTATGAAAACAGTGTTTTTATAAAGTGAGCTCACTGCCAAATGAACTTAATCGTAGCTTTTTTACGTTGTCGATTCGAATCAAAGATTTTAAAGAAGTGATTAATATCGTGATTTAAATAGCTGATTTTGATGATTTTATTGATGCATTTTCAAGTATAAACGTTATTTCATTCAAGTTATGTTTGCACCCTGGTTTAGATAATCAATCCTGATTCCTGACAGTTAAAGTTGCAACTGTTACAGCTTTGCTTTTACTTTAAAAATTAGTCAATAAATAAGCAAAATTTCTAACATTCTCTTATCAAATACTTGATGTTTTTTGTGATTGCATTTTTAAAAATACTATGAAAAGTGATTTCTAGGTTGTGTTGCATTTTTCATTGTAGCTGAGTCGTGTGATAACAGTCAACCTTTTGTGATTTAATCTTTTAAAAATATTTACAGCATCTTGTTTTTCTCAGGAAAAGTTATTTTTAATTGATGAACATGTTATTTAAATTTTTTAATAACATTTATTTTTAATTGACAGTAGATTGAACACTGAGAGTCCATTTAATTAATATCACAAATTTATTACTACATAAAACTAAAAAATAAAACTGTGAAAGGTGATTCATTCTGCTATTGAGGATAATCAAGATCAAGTTTAATGGTTATATTTATGATTAATTGTGTACATTATAAATTTGAGGAGTTTTTTTTTTTTAATAAATAATGAAGTTTGTTTTTATTTTAAATTATTTATTAGCACTTTCAAATGATAAGGAAAAATGAGATACATGTAGTGATAATAAATTTTTAAAAGGGGTTAATCCATCCTCATTATTATCACTGTAACTGTGTTTTAAATTTTGTTGATTTTCAAATTTTATTCCCCAAGAATGAAGGAATTATTTTAACCCCAAATCTTACACCACAAAACAGAATACTTCTTTAACTTGTTGTTACCAATTAACTGTAAAACATAAAGCTCAATGACAAATCCTAGTAATCCTATTCCCTATAATATCCCTATTTATAGTAGTTGATTCCAACTGATAGTAATAAATATTTTAAAGAATTCCAATATCTTTAATTGCTTAACATAGATTTGTTAGGGGAAAAATTGTGATCTTTTTATCACTATTTCAATTCTTCATTAAATGCAGTTTTTTATGTGAAAGCTACAGTAGTGAGTCACAATTTTTTTCAAAAGTGGTATTTTTACATCATATTGTTCATTTGTATTGTTTCCTGACCGGTTCGTTAAAAGTATATTCCCAAAATCATTTAAATTACAGCACAAAACATCGTATTTCTTTCCTTGAAATTGTGATGTTTTTCATAAAGAATATCTTCCTGAGCTATTTTAACTGGCTTGGTGCTGTTGTACAAAATATTTTGTTAATCTTTTCTTGCTTAAAAGGGGCTGAAACAAATATCTTCATTCTGGCTGATTGTATAGTTGTATATATACTTGTAATACTGAGAACAAAATCTGTTCTTTGTGATACTAACAGATAGTAATTACAAAAAATTCTAGCAGTGAAACTGCTAGCAGTACACCCCTTCTAGCAGTGAAAATCTCTTGATTCAAAAAACAGTCATCTTTTGAAGAAAAACATAAAACTTGTAATTACGAGCAATACATTTTATTTATGATAAGGCAAATTTTTAGGCTACTTGAAAACAGATTCAAGGCATGCTTTATTTTCTCGAAAGCTTAACCAAATGTAAGTGTTTGAAAGTATATTTTATTTTAATGTGAGTTTAAGTAGTGATCGACAACTTTTCATGTTTTTATAGAGCGTGACCCAGTTGCTATTGAGCGTTCGAATCTCCTGAATGTGATCAAACTTGTAGTGAAAGAGTTGATAGAGTCATCCCTGAAGTATGGACGACAACTGGACTCAGATCATGTACCTCTCCAGCATTTCTTCATTCTAATGGAACATGCCATGAGACATGGACTTAAACGTAAGTATATTCCATTTTGACTATATGCTGCTTTTAAAATATATTTGTTGTTATTCATGTATATCCTGACAATCACTCTAAAACCTAGCATTTTACATTAACCGTAACTCCTCAAATGCATTAAAATTTAAAATAAACAAATTAATGCATGGTATATTGAAATTTAAACATTCATATAAGTCCAAAACTGTATCTTACATTAAGTTGTTATATAAAAACACGTAAGTAATAGGCTAATGATTAATAAGCTTTCAATAAATATAATTTTGCATTAATGTCATAAAAATAGTTGTATTATGCTGCTGAACTACTGACAGCCAGTAAATTTTGACTTACTTTTGGAAGTAATCATCACACTGCCCTAGAGAAACAGTGGCTCAGGAGATGGAGCATTTGTCTCCCAATGAGGTCACACATGTTCAAATCTCAATGGTGGTCGGTTGTACAAATTCTGCTCCTGTCTTGCACTCTCTACTGTGGTAACATATCCACAGTGGTAACATATCCACAGTGGTTGATGAACAATGGGTTAAAATACTCTTAACCTTTGCTACCAGTGAGAGGTTTTCATGATTTTCCGCTTCCTGGGGGTAACACAAATGTGGGTCATAAAAATTTTCTCAGCAAATGCCAGTTGTCCCTTAGCTTGATCCGGGAGTTCCCTTGACTTCTGGATTGGGTTCAAAATTACAAAGCTAGGGAGTTGAACAGTGATAGTTGTAAACTCAGAATTAGGCCATCACCAGTTATAAAAGAAAACATTAAACCACACTGCTCTGACTTTTGTTAACTGTGGCTTCTGGACAGGAGGTAGTCAAGAACTTAGTATTTACACAGTTTGCTAACAGCTAGTGTAAAATGCAACCAAATTGTCTACAAACCTATGATCCATAATCAAAAATTATAGTGAATATATTTTCAAGGTGGAACCGATTGTTTGCAATATGATTGCTGTCACATCCAAAGTCCAACTGTGTTTATTTCTGAATGTGTTAATTTAAAAATATATCATTATTAACATTCTTTTTCAAAATAGGAAATGGCAATAATGATCAGAAATCTTTTGCTGAACAAAATAATATTTATCCAGTTAATTGTAATCTTGAAATAAACTGCTGATGGTCTATTAGAAAAATACAGATAAGATAGACTGCTACTACACGTAAGCTACTACATGTAGCTTCCCTCACCCGCTAGTGACAAGTCACGACAAGTACCACAAAGGGTAAATGAAATGAAATCCGCAATATAAACAATTCATAATTTTAGGATGTAACCCTAGAGAATTGATACTCTTCAATGGGTCAATCTAGGGACTGAAAAAAAAAAAGTCAAAAGCCAGCAAAACAGTGTACCATCACTTCTTATAACATAAACTTGTAACTGAAAGTAACATATAACACAAAAAAATTAAAGAATTGTTAATCTCAAATGAACTAATGCAAGATATGTTGCAATTAAGGTATTAATTCAGCTTTGGATTTTTTGTAAGTATGCCAAATGACAACAAAACTTATAGACTAACTTTACTCATAAGTACTGTCCTTTTAATTATAGGAAGTTTTTCATGAAATAACATATAATGATATTCTGATTGCAGCAAAGAAAGGTCTTTTGGGGCCAAAAAAAGAACTATGGAATGTTCTAGAGTCAGTCGAAAAGTATATGCCAGAAGCATCAGACATCACTGCTAGTGTTAGAGAACTCCCATCTGTAAAGTATGGACTTTTCTTTTTTAATATCAGATGTTGTAATGTTATTTTCATTTGCTAAATAATATACTGTATCTTTTTGTACTTTATAATTTCATTAAAATATTAATTTATGTAGTTCCAAAGAAGTTTTTCAGTAGAGAAAAACAATTTTTTATTTTCTTTTTTATTTTTGCTCTTTTCTTTTTTTTTGTTCTTTTTTTTAATAAGTATTTTTAATGCACTTTTTCGACTGTACAAAACATGTGCCTTATTTTTAAACTGATTAAGCTTTCATCAATGGAAAATTCCTCCTTTAAAAAATAAAAATTATACTAAATAAATAACTAAAAATGTAAATTTGAAGATAAAAACTAAGTTTTTGATAATATTCTTTACTATTGTAGTATAATGTTCCAGTTTTTTACAGTATAAATGTATATAGATATATGCAGTTTATAAATTGGGCACAGAAATGTATTGAACAGAACCACAAGATTGAAAAACAAATTTTAACTTAAACTGCATCAATTTATTTTCTATTACTAAAAGTTTTGTGTGTCAAAGTTTTTTGAGAAGTTGAGACCTTTTGATCTTTATCCAGTTGTAGATTGATAGTGATTGAAGATGTTACTGGTCATGTATATATGAAGTGCTTCAGTGTTTAGTGGTAAATACCATGTAATAACTGAAGTCTTGCAAACCACGCATTTGCAATTAATTTTATATTCAGATTAGCAGCAAAAGCCGTTTTTAAGCATGAAACTAACACATTTAAAGCTAGTTTTCCAGTGTAGGAGAAAAATTATCATTAAATATATCTTCTAGCTACAAATTTGGTTATTCTTCCCTTGAGTTTTTAGCAAGCCCATATTTCTATTCTTTTTTGTTCTAACTGAAGGGAAAACCATTTGTTAATATTTTTTAAATCTGTAAATGGTTCTATCCAAAATATGATTTAAAATTGCTCTTACTGTTGTTCTTATTATGACTCTTTGTCAATTGTTGTCTTTATCTTTGCAGAACTCATTTAGGTAGAGCAAGAGCTTGGTTAAGATTAGCATTAATGCAGAAAAAATTGTCTGATTATTTTAGAAGACTAATTGATGGGAAAGATGATATTTTAAGGTGAGTAGCATTTAAATAGTGTATTATCTCATAAGTGTATTAATTTAGATCTAAAAGTATTTTGTTCATATAGTAAATAAAATAATTCCAATATGTATACTAAGGAGCTTTTCTTCCTGTCCATGCTTGCTATGCAATAATTTTAGTTTCTTTAAACATGATTTTTCATCAAAATTAGAAATTATCCAATTATAAGGTTACAATTATTTTCACTTTATTTAATTTTTGATTCTATTTAATCTAGTAGTGTCTTGTATAATAATCATGACATAGTTCAAAGCTATAATTTGATAATTTTTGCCTGCCAAACAGGCTTATTCTATTGCATACAGCTTACATGACTTAGTGCTAGAATATTTCTATGCACCGAACCTTAAGTTAAATTTATCACATATTTCAGGATATGTGAAATAGTTAGGATATTTTTCTTGCAATAAAACATATTCCATTTGGTTTAAATGTTCAAAAGCAAGTTTTACTGAATAAGTGCTATAAATTTCTCAGGTACATTTTAGCTCTCTTGTGGTTTCAGCATCTTTGCATCAAGCAATGGAAACTGAACGCTAAAAAATTATTTGTTTTGCAAGTTATACAATTTTTATAACCAACAGATATTTTAAATGCTGCCATAACAAAAAAAAGTGTTCTAAGTTACATGTCCCTCTAATATAAACTGAACAACATAGAATTTCTACCATTTTTTTAGCTGTATAGTTTATACATAAAACTAATTTTTTTATTTATTAGCTTTTATTGCATTATGTAATTTACTTAAAGTTTAAACAAACAAGCTCTGCAAATAAACTAAGTAATAAATATGCTCTTAGCTTATTTTGAATTTAAGAATAAAGAATAAATATGCTCTTAGCTTATTTTGAATTTAAAATTATGTCAATATAATCAAAGACTTTATTTTAATCATTTATGTAGTCTTTTTTTTTGTGTAATTGATATGTTTTCCTTCTTCCCTTTTAGGGAATTTTATGAAAAGGATGCGCTTATGATGTCTGAAGAAGCAATTATCGTTGGGGGTCTTTTAGTTGGTTTAAATGTTATAGATTGCAATCTATGTGTGAAAGAAGAAGATTTAGATTATCAGGTTTGTTTCTTTTTTATACTTCTAAGCTAAATTGTTCATTAAAATAATTCTTGCATATATTAGTGTATTTTAGTAGTAATATTAATTTTTTTATTTGAATTTACTTTTTTATTATTTTTATTTATTTTATATAATTTATCAAAATTAAAAGAATAATTTTTAGCTTGATTCATTTGAACTCGACCAATATGGTTCAGTGGTTAAAAGCACTGAGCTGTCATTGCAAAGGATTAGGGTTTGGTACTTACCATCGGCTTGAAGCCCACACAACTTCTGATAGATGGACGCCGGCGTGCCTGAGAAGCAAAGGTGGTCTGTGCTTAATGCTCAACTTCTTACCACAGTTATACCATTAGTCTCAATATTGTGGACCCTGCCACATAGAGGGTTTTTGCGGGAATACTTTTACTTTATTTGAACTATAAATAAGTTGGGTTAATCTTAGTAAATTTGTATTTTTTCTAATGAAATGATCACTAATAATAATAGCTTTGCTAGACATAGCATTTAACTATAAATCTAATTTGATCATCTTTAATTATATTTTTTAAATATGAAATTTGACACCTTTGTAACTTCAATTGTTTGAGAGTGAATGTAGTGATTAATAAATATATCATGAGAACTAAAGTCAATGTTTGCATCAGAATATGGCCACAAAATTTAATATTTTGCTTTAACTTCTGGTGCGTTATAGTTAATAATCTTTCAAAGAAGAATTTAAAGTATAGAAAAAGGGATTTTTTATATTCAACTGATTAGTTGTATGGCAGAAATCAAAGAAACATATTAAGAAATTCAAACCCTCTCGCTTCCTTAATTCTTGTCTCAAAAGTGGATCCAACATTTTTGTATGGGTATAAATATTCTTACCATTTAATGTGATATGCTCTTAATTTTTCTTTATGTCATTAATCATATAAATATTACGGTGGATATTACTTAAAAGTAAATGTGCCTTTAATCTCAAAAAACTAAAGTGGTAAGATATGCTTCATTATATAAAAAATTCCTTTACTCCAATGTGATATTTGACACTCTTTGCTCCCACATCTTTTTTAATTTTGTTATTTAACTTTGTTTATTTTTAAATTTTGAATTTTGTTTTTTAGCAAGGTGTTATAGATTTTAGTCTATATTTGAGAGAATCCAATGGAGAGGTACAGCCACTTGAAGGGTAACTGCTCTTAAACTCATTTACGTTTTAATTGTAAAAATATTATTTCTATTGTTTTTAATAGAAATTTCACATTTGCATAAGTATAATTTTTAAAATATAATGTTGCAAAATTACTGGACACATTTCCCTTTTGAAACCTTTAATTTTCATTAATAAACCAAATCCCGATAGTAATAGAAGTAGATAAATCTTGTAGTAGGGAAAAAAAAATTTAAATTATCTGATAATATGACAGAAAAGCTTTGCTATTTCTTCTTTGTTTATGAGGAATATGCTCAGTGCCAATTTTTAATATTTAGATATTGTTTTTTTCTAAGTTGTTCTAATGACTATTGAATGTTTATTAATTTAGCAGAAAAGTTTACATTTTCAACTTTCATCATTCAATTTTTATATTATAGTAAAATATCCTTATTAAGCAAGTGATTCGGTTGATGTCAGAAAATTGCATATTTTTGCATTGAAAATGTTTAATAATAATGTTAACAATAAATATATAAGTTTTAGTAGTGAAACATAATGTAAACATTTTTTACTGTGTTTTAAAATGTAATTTACACATGTAACAAATGGGGCAATATTTTTAAGAAGTTGTAAATGAGCTTAAAGTTGTCCCAAACTTAACTTGAGTCCAGTTTCTTCATAATTTAATTTCTAAAGTTTGTTTAATTTTCTTTTTTACAACTTTTTTAAATTGATTATATTCCATGCATCCCAATATTACTATATCGATTTTCTTTTACAATTTATCTCCTGAGTATCTGTTTTGAGGCTTACGTGCAGTCTAATTCTGAAGCTAATTCTTGTGTGTACAACATGCATCAGCAAACACATATTATGAAAATATCGGTATTTTCCCATTTAAATATTCAGTTCTACAATATGTCTCTGTGTTAAATTTCGTTTTTTAAAAGGAACATCAGCATCCTGGAACAGATTTTATGCAAAATACTAAAATAAGTTAAATAGTATTTTACCTGTAACTCAAAATTATCCGCTTTGAACTGTGATGACTCAGGGGATAGAGCGTTCGCTTTACAATGAGGTGAACGGAGTTCATATCCCAGTCTATATGAATTCCGCATCCAGCTTGCACGGACCACAGTGCTGACGTTAAATATCCTGAGTGGTAGATGGAACATGGATTAGAGTCCCCTTGCTGTAAGGCTAACCGTGGGAGGTTCTTGTGATCCTCCTCTCCATGTAATGCAAATGCGGGTTAGTTCCATCAAAATGTCCTCCACGGAGGCAAATTTCTTTGGTCGGCTGTTCATCGACGGTTATAAAAAAATTAAAATTATCCGCTCTGAGATTTATTTGTAGATATTAGATTATTAGATAGTATAAAAATCTTGCATGTATGAAATCAGTCAATAAACCCAATTTTTATAAAATATCGGTATTTTGTCCATACAAATATTCTGCCCTACAATATATATCTCTGTGTAAGGTTTTGTCTTGCCATACTTTAACTGGACTTTATGCTATCATTTCTATCACATTTTTGATAATACTATAGTGTATTTAAACTTCAAGGTGTTATGTATGTTGTATCCTTGAGTATACACATCCCTTTAATTTCAAAATTTTTCAACTTTTTGCTAAATATTTCCACTTTGCATGGAAGCAACTAATATTAAAAAATAAAAATTCTCTTCTAATGCTAAATTTACAATTGTTATTATAATTTCACATGCGAACTACCATAAATTATTCTTTCCAGGGTAGATACTAGCAATTTCACAGCAGTATTGGACCAGAAAAATTATATTGAAGAACTAAATCGGCATCTAAAGCAAGTACTTTTATTTTATTTCTTTTCTAAATGCATTTTAAATCTTGATTTAACTTTAAATTTATTTCCTTACCATTTTCGGCCCCTGTTATATTTCTTTAGCTATATATCTGTGCACAAATTGTTTCTTCTGCATAATTAGTGAAAAGCTCTATTTTATCCCATTTTCTTTATATATTTTTTTTAGTTTCATTGCATTTTTAATTCATTTAGCATACTTCCGATGCAAGTCGACACCCTTAAAGATATTTCCTTTATTTTTATTTTATTATATTATTATTATTATTATTATTTTTTAGTCTACAGAGAAAGTTTTAGATATAGGTAAAAATCAGAATATTTTGTAGAAAAGCTAAACGGAAAAAATTTGCAAAATAAAATTGAATTTTTTGTTGCATTTAATGTCTTGCAAATAATTCACTAACAAGGCAAAGTAGTCATTTCACAGATTAATTATTCATTGTTAAATATAAATTACTTATTAATAAATTTAAATAATCAGTTAATTAATTTCTAATTTTTTAGTTAAATTGCATCTAGTTTTTGTATTCTGTTCTGTAACTGATTTCAAATTAAATCAATAACATTTATTACTCTTTGTTTGAACGGAATCATTTTCAATTTATATAATTTTTTCACTTTATATAATCACTCCAAACAGAAGTATTAGGCATTTTTACAATTTAAAAGCTTACATTTTTCCACAATTGATCAAAAAAGTTTTTGAAAAACTGTACAAACCACTATCTTCTTACTACTCAGTTACTGCTTAATGAACATGAAACAATTTTCTTGTAGGAGGAGTAAATGATAGGACCCCTTATTCTAAACATATGATGTCCTAAGCTAAATCTTTGATGAAAGGAAGTGTGCAATATGGATTACTTACTATTATTCAGAATTTGAAGTGTATATTACTGCCTTATTTAAAAAATCAAACTTTCCTATGCAATCCATAACATTTCAAAATTAATTTTCAATATGTATTCATTATCTATTCTATTTTCATTCATCTGCCTATTTTCATCAATCATATTTTTCTTGTCTGCAAATTGTATTCACTCTCTTTGTGAAGTGTTGTAAGAGGTGGTTTATTTAGTAGATGGTTTATTTTGTAGTGATATTATTCTCATTCTTTTTTATTTTAGTTTTGCTTGTTCTCTGGGCGTATGTTATTTAGTAAAAACTCCTGCTCCTAACCAGTGTAACACTGTATGTTTAGTTTTAAGTGAAGTGGAATAACATCAAAATTACTAACTTCTAAATTGTTCAAGGTTCTGAGAAGCACTTCGTTACAAAAATTAAAAATCGTTATGTAATTTTAAAGACTGAAGAACTAAGTGTTATAACTTCATGACATCGATTTCATGAAGCGAAATTTCAAAATCTAGAAAAAACACTGAACGACTTTCTTAAATTCCTGTATAATATTAATAGATGTCATTCAAAAAATTTAAATATATTTTTGACCTTTAATGTACTATATTAAATACTACTTTTACTTTATTGGCATAAAAAACACATATTAATGAGTTTTGTAATTCTTTTTTTGAAATGTAGCATAATTATACCAAAATAAATCCAGTATTTATTAAATATAGTTATATATTTGCACTAATTTTAAATAGTCACGATTTAGCAACCTCACATTATAACCTCTGTTTTTGTTTGAACCAGGAGGGTAATTATATTGAGTGTCGACTTTATTTAAAAAATTGCTAAATGTTGTTTATAAACTCCTATTTTTTTCTCAATATTTCTGGGTCAGCCTCTTTATTAATTTATAATTGCTTTAAAGTTTGTGACAAATGTACAGATAAATAGCTTGAATAGCATTTATCGCTTGTGAGTCATGCAACTCATTCAATGATTTTTATGTATTTGTTATTTCAGTGCAACCGTGACAGACTTGCAACAGAAAGTGGAACAGCTTCAGACTACAAATGCCTTGATGAAAGAAGATTTGGCCATATCCAAGAATCAAATCATTACTCTTCAAGATGAAAATGCCCAACTGAGAAAGTTATGTGATCGACTGAGCAACGAAAACAAAAAAAGACTGGACGTAATTAAACTCACTTTTCATAATTAATTTGAGCCTTTACTTTATAATTTAAATAATTTTTTAACCTGTTTTTTATAGTTTTTAATATTTCTTTGCTTTTAAACTTATAATATAAATAAGTTATTTACTGAGTTTAATCCTTCTCAAAAACAGATTGCATATGTCAAGGGTCAGAACTATCATTATAATTCAGGACTGTGGAGTTTTTTTTTTTTTTTAAATTTTAAACTGGTGATGAAACTGCTTCACACCTTGTCTACTGCTGAAAAGATGATGTATTTGGGACTTTACAAATAATAAAATCTTTGAAAATAATAAATGTTTTGTATATACAAATTAAATATATAAAAAAAGATACAAATACAAATAAATGGAAAAGAGATATAAATACTCTACAAGTAAATGAAATACAAGTAAATGAAAAAAAAAAAAGCTGAAATAATATTAGTAAGCAGATTCATCATATATGTTAAAATGCTTAGACCAAATAAATAAATAAAGAAAGAAAACTGAGAATGTTAGAACTAACAAATATTAAATTATAAATCAATTTTATAAAATTCTAAATAAATTCAATTTTAAAAGACAATATCTTATTGATGAACAATTGTAGTTTCAGTACATGAATGCAAAGCACAGCGCAACATGTAAATTAGAAATATCAACAATTAAATTTAAAAATGGTGGAACCCTAATTATAATAAAAACGTTTTTTTGAAAGGGAAGAAAAAAAGATTTTATGTATAGTAATGGGCTATTAATTTTTATGTTATATCTCAACCTATAACAAAATTTTAATTGATATTTTTTTATATATATATTCTCTTTTTATTATTACAGTAGGAACCCGATTATCCCGATAAAAAAATTAAGATTATTGGAATTGGTAGTTTGTAAAATTTGTTGTGGTAGTTGGAGAAGCAAAAATGAGGACTGCTAAATAGGTCATATGTACATTTGTACTTTTTTAGCTCATAGAGTTTTAAATTCGTGTAATTGTCCCACAATGGACTGATTGTTAAGACATAGTACCCAGTCAATCACGAAAGTCAAACATCATTGGCATCAGTAGTTGTCTGTGTAAGTGACAACATTGATCAGCCTAGGGACTAAGATTGTGCAGTATCAGTCCTCAGTAAGTTATTCTATTGTAAAGTGGTGGACAGGGCGTCAGGCTGACAAGACAGGGGTGCCCTGTCCTCCACAGCAAATCAAAATTGTAAAGGCATGTCTTTGTTTCATTCTTAGGATGTTTCCCATTCTTTTACCAGTAGAACTTCTACTATTACTACATTTGTGCAATTTATTATTAAGCTTTATTAATCATCTTTCTTAAAATGTGTAACATGTTTTTTAATTGCATGAGGGAGGAAGTTAAACTTCCACCTTTTCGGCTATGTGTTAATCATGCTTACCTTTCCCCCATGTTAGACCAGGTAGTCTGAAGCCTACGGTATTCACAACTTTTGTATTTTGTATAGAAAGTATGTTTCACTAAAGTAACAGATAAAATATGTCGTTCTTCTAAAATCAAAAAATAAAGCATTATACTAGCCTTGTTTAAAAAAAAATATTCATCCTCTTTCATAATTTTCTTTTTCTTTTTAATATTTATATTTATTTTGATCAGGAAGTGAGAGCTGACATGAATGCTGAACGAGAAACATACCAGACTACACAGTTAGGCCTTGATTCCATGTATACTGATATCAGGAATCAGTTACAATCAGAAATCTCAAAGAAAAAGGCAAGTTGAATTTTGATCATATGTGTTTCTTTCTATGTTTGCTTATAATGCTTATAATATTTAAATTAAGCATTTTTATGTATTTTTCTTTTTTTTATTATTATTAACAAATTTTGAACCATTTTGTTCTTTTATGTTTTCTACAAAGTGCTTTAAAACAATCCTTTTGTACTGCATACAATGTTTTAATTTAGCTCTTGTTGCTTATTTTTCTTTTATTATTGTTTTCAGGGATGAGATTCTTCCGCGGATTCGCGGATNTTTTTACTTTCTGACTACTCTCATCCCTGTGTTTTAAAATTTCGGCCTGCTTTGCTTGTTTAGTATAAAATGTTTTGAGACAATTTTTCTTTGATCTTTCTAACAAATTTTTTTTATTATTATCCTTTGTTGTTATCTTTTATATTATATATGATGTTTTCACTTTTCATTTCTTTTAAGCTTTTTTTTATTATTGTTTTTGCACTCGTTTGTTATTGCTTAAGTATAATTTTTCAGGTTTTCTTTTTTTTTTTCAAAATTTTTAAAATTGATTTTAGTATTAAAATTTTATTTAAAAAATAATAATTTTACACTAATTTTTGTAGTAGCTTATTTAAAATGGTTCATTCTCAAAATCAAAAAATTATTTGATTAATTAATTCGCATTTTAGGTCTATTATTACACATTGTGTGATAGGTTCGTACTCATAGTACTCCATTTTTCCATGAATAATAAAAATTTGCTAAGTTGATTAGTAAATGAATGAAATTTCTCAATATTTATAAACAATAAAAAATATTATACAGAGTAAACACTGTTCTTTTACTATTCACACTAAATGATATTGTTGTTTTCCACAGTTCAATTGTTTTAATTAATTTACAGATTTTTTTTTATATATGATTAAAGCTAAAACAATTCGAAAAATGTCACATAAATAGATATATGATCATTTTGATACTATAATGAAACATCTTTATTAGTCTCCTATACAGATATTCATTCTATGTTTGTACAGTGTTGTAGTAAAAAATTTATGTGAAGAAGAATGCTAAAAGTTCCAACTTTTTGAAGATAATTTTTGGACATGTTATTAAAACTTTTGTTCTTACTGCATTTTGATTTAAAATTTTCTACATTATAGCCACTTCAATGTTAGGTTTACCAATTTAATTTTAATTAATTCTTAATAATTAATTAAAAAAACATTTGTGTGGGACTTGTTAAATGATTTTATAATGTTAATATCATAGTCTTGAATGGAAAAGGTGTGGATTCTTGATGAATAGCTTTGGTAATTCTGCCAAATGTACTTGAAGCAGCAAAAAACTAAAACTCCCACTATGTTTTCACTTTTTATCCATCGTAAATAAAATAAAAAAATTGCAGTACTTTAAATTCACAGAATTATAAAAAACCACAAATAATAAGAAATAGCTTTTTTCATAAAAGCAGTGGAGGTATGTTGTTCCACTCCCTGTGACAGAATCGCAGCAACACGGTAAGTTACAGAGTACTTGCAGAAAGATTTTTCTTTTGTAAAATAAAAAAGAATTTAGTTTTATTTTCTACAGAAATTTACACATAATATTTGAACTATGCATTTAGATAATCACTTTTGTGATTATCTAAATGATTTTGCGCAGATAGTATCGTAAACAATGTAATGTTCCGATTGTATTTTCGGCAGTTATTGATATTGATTTTCACAGGGTTTTTAAATATCTCGACGTATTTCAAACAGTATAGAAAATTCGAATCGTGCTTTTGAGTATTTACTTTTTAAGGCAAGGATTCTATCTAATTTTTGGCATCTATTGATTTTTCAATAGTTTTTAAATCCAAAATTTATTATTTGATGTCACAATTATTTATTATGCATTTGAATAACCCCTTTTTGAGGAGTCCAATTCGCATGAATTATTTTTATCGAGAATGATTATTTACAAAATGGGAAGAAGGAAATAATTTTTGTGAATTACACCCCCCACCCCATCAAAATGCAAGAATATCACCTGTAACATTAAAGTAAAGAATTATTACATGTTCAATTAAAAAAAAAAATAGTTTCTTTGTAAGCACAGTGCTTTTGTTATTTTACATTAGTAACATATATGTTTGTTATTATTAAAAGTATCTTGCAGATAGATATTAGTGCTAGAGAGTTTTGGCGCAGATAGCTCGAAAAAATTCTGCAACAGATGTTCCACTGTGTACCTCCTACATTACATCTCTGATACTTGAGAAGATGTTTCTTTATGGTGTCCAAATGATACTTCTTTTATTAGAATTTTCAATGCATATTGCACTGTAGTGGTGAAATGCCTTATTTTTTAGCTTGATCTCTCTCACTTATTATTTCAGTTATTATTTTTGAGGAAAAAAATTAGTTTTTAAAAAAGGTAGCTTTAAGCATGGTGTTTTTCTTTTACTCGTTGTGCACACTTTGGTTTTTTAAAGTCTTAATGCCTCTGGTTATGAGGTAAAGATCTACCTATTTTCAGGGTTTAACTTGGAATGATCCAATGCTCAATTCTCTACAGGAATTGGAGGTGGAATGTGAACTCCAAAGAACTTTGAGGGATGAAGCGGAGGTTGCTATGAAGCTCTTGGAGAAGGATATCCATGAGAAACAGGACACAATATTGTCCATGCGAAGGCAGCTGGAAGACATCAAAGCGATAAACCTTCAGTTGTACACTAAACTGCAGGTAACTACATTAATGTGTTTCATTCATTTTAAAAATCTTGCATCTGTTATTAGTCTTGCATTTGTTCTTATATATCGATTTATTGTAACAATTGCTCATTGAATTTTATTATATTTTTGTTTTCAAAAGGATTTGACTGTAAAAATAAAATTTTAAAGTATTATTTTTAATTAAACAAAAATGCTTTTTTAAAAAAAATAAATAAAATGCAAAAATAAGGATACTCTTAAATTTCTGCTGACTGTAAAATAATCACTAATCTGTTATTGAAGCTAGTGATTGTATTACTTATACTGATAGGTACTACTAGTTTTGTGGTTATTATACTCTAGGTAAAAATTGCTTATTATTTAATTTGTTATGCATTACTGGTATCAATAATTGTTTTGGATTTTTTTTTTTTGCCCCACGTAAATGGAACGGAACCCAAATGAATTTGATAAAAAGTAATTTCTAATAGTAGGCATTTGAAAGTTTTGGATTGATTGACATTCTAAATTCTTGAAATTTTAAGTGCTTGAATTCTTCTAGTTAATAAAAAATATTTGACCTAAAAATTTAGTTCTAGAATACTCAGCTTTTGATACATATTCACTAACTATGTTTAAAGTAATAATTTTTAGTGTTTGAATCTATTTAAAAATATCCTGAATCCCATTTTTGAGGGAAATTAAACTTAATACTTAAAGGTGTTAATAAAACTAGTGATTTATGCTTATTAATTTGTGTTTTTTTTTCTTGTGTTAAAATAAATGTGTTTTAAAAATATATTATTTTATTTTTCAGGAGTCTGAAAAAGAACTTAAAGCCAAAACTACCTTTACAAACGAGCTTGAATCAAAAATTGTGGAACTTAACAGAACTCTTCATGAGCTGGAAGATAAGTACGAAGTTTTATCTCGGGCTCAGTCTAGTTTTGTGACTGAGCCTCAAAAGTCGTTATTATGACAAAGTGAAAAATCTGTCTTTATTGCAACATAAACTGCTTTTCTGTTTGACATCTATGTTTATTCTCTATTTATTTCTATTGTTTTTACTGTAGGTTAATTTTACTTGATGCCAACATCAATATTTTTATACTGGGTGTTACAATACTTATTAAATTGCAAACTTCTAAAAATGATAGAACATATTGTAATTACTATTCTTTTTCTTCTTCTTTTTTTGAATAATGAGAAATAAATTGGGTACTTGCAGAAGGTACCCACTCCTCTCCTATTTATGTGTACCTAAACGTAGATAAATAACAGTAATTTTTGAAAATTTGAACATGGGAATCAAGATTTTGAAAACTTACTGAAAGTTTGGGAAATAAAAATTTCCGATTGACTTAAAAAGATTGTTAGAATATTAAGTTTATACCTCACCTGTTATTTATTTTTTATTATTTATTTATTATTATTATTATTAATTTTTTTTTGAAGTTGCGTTAAAACAAATGACTTCACTCATCCATCCGCTGGATGCAAAACAATATTTCTTTTCCAAAATGGCTCTTTTGTTTTTAAAGTATTAAGAAGGAATGTAACTGCAACTAAATTATGTGAATTATCTTGAATCTCTGAATAACAATTTTAGAAGAGTTTGCTTTAGAAATATAACTTTACACTAAAAGACTAATATAGATTTACACCGTTTGGCATTTAAATGATAATTAAATACGTAAGCATACTTGATGAGCCTACAGATTATAATTTTTTATGAAGTAGGTAATTAGATCAGTGTAATAAGTTATTAGATATTTTTTAATCAACTAGAACTATGCTGACTAAAAAAGAACAAATATTTGCCACCTGGTAAATTTATTAATTATATAACCAAAACTATTATATTTTAATAGTTTTGGTTATATAATTAATATATTAGCACAATAAAACATTTTCATTTGAAAAAGTTTTTTTTTTTTTTTTTTTTTATTTTTTTTTTTTTTTTTTTTNAACAATTTTAGAAGAGTTTGCTTTAGAAATATAACTTTACACTAAAAGACTAATATAGATTTACACCGTTTGGCATTTAAATGATAATTAAATACGTAAGCATACTTGATGAGCCTACAGATTATAATTTTTTATGAAGTAGGTAATTAGATCAGTGTAATAAGTTATTAGATATTTTTTAATCAACTAGAACTATGCTGACTAAAAAAGAACAAATATTTGACACCTGGTAAATTTATTAATTATATAACCAAAACTATTATATTTTAAAACTATGTTTCAGCTAATTTCATTGAATAGTTTATAACTAGAATTTATTCAGTTATTAGTACAACATTGTAATAAGCACAGTAAAACATTTTCATTTGAAAAAGTTTTTTTTTTTTTTTTAATTTTGTTCTAATTGTGTGCTTGATAGTACTTTTTATTCTTAAAATAGCATTTTTGGCATTTCTAAAACTTACTTTTTACTGTACAAGTCTTCCTACTCTTTTGATCTATTATTGCCTCTCTTTTTTTTCTACGAAATATATATTATTTTAGCCAATTCTCAGCAAACTTGGGACAGGCTGCATTGCCTTGAAAGAAGAAATTTTCTGCCATTTTTGCGGGTTTCTGTTTTGTTATAAAACGTAAATGTCTGCGTAAACTAAGCATTTAAAGCCAGCTAAAAAGTTCTATAATGTAAAATTATTAATTTGTCAAATTTTTGTGAATAATAAATTTTTACAAAAATCTTCCTAATCCAATATCATGTGCAGCGGTAGTTCTTAAAATGTTTTTATCCAATTCGCGGCGTTCCATGGAAGGTTTTTTTTGTGTGTGTGGGGTTTTTTTTGCCCTGTTTTTATTGATCTAATTAATGTATGAAATCCAACCTTGATTGATTTTAATACCTCTGTAAACATTTTATTTTATTTTTAAAAAAATTTAATATTTTTTTTTTTTACTAACTTTTAAAAAAAAAGTTTACAGCACTTTTAAGTTTGACAATCTTGTTTTAAATCATGTAATATTACCTTCTACTACGAATTTATCCCAATAAATCAATATTATCTTAAGAGCTGATTAAAAGTCTTGATTACTGAAATTTAAATAACATTAAGAAAAATTTATTTTCCACCATTTGAGTGTTTGCTTACTGGAAAAAGGGGAGTAATTACTGTTTTAAAATTTCATATTTATTTTGAACCATGCACTCCTATTTACAAAATGTTTATTTGAATATGTTCTATCAACTTTTAAGGAAATTTGCATCTTCTATTTAAACACCCTTAAAAATTCATACATTTTAAGCAATCGAGCAAAAGAATGTCTTTCTGACAAGATTTTTGAAAAGTTTTTATAAAAGAATTGATCATTTTTTTAAAGAAAAAGATAGCTTTTAAAAAAGGCAGACCAAAATATTTTATTTATTTTTAAAAGAATGAAGAGATCACAAAAAATTTAATAATTTCTTTAAATCCTTGTTGTTCCTTCAGGGAATGACACATGGATATAATGAAAATTTTTTTATAAATTTGTAAATTCTGTAACACAAACTATTAGAATTTTTTTTATTCCTTTATTTTTGTATTTTGTTAACCATTTACTGAATTGATCAGCTTGCATTTAATACTTGTTTTATTTTTCAATGTTATTCTATTTTTAACTAGTTACGATTTTTACGTATTAATATTATATGTATATTGGTTACAAATTCGCATTGAATTACTAAAAAATGTTAAACAAAATACATTTAATCCCCTTAGTTTACCTGTAACTACTTATTGTATTGAACTGAAATCATTAAATCAATCACTTTATTTAAATAATGCAATTATCATTTTTCATTGTTTAATATTAACATTTTATAATGTAAATTTTTATTAGAAAGAAGCATACTTTATTTGGTCACTAAGCAACATTATTATTTTTTTAAATAGTCTTTTTTCGATTGCATTTTTACTAAATATTTAAAAAATTTCGAAGCCCAGCTTTTTAAATGATAGGTTAATGATTTATAATGAATATATTTCAATCCTGTGAAATAATCAGTTGAAACTGACTACTATCTTTGTCGACTTAACTCAACTTCAATAACTGAATGTACTAACTTATGGAAGTTAAATGGTAAAAAAGGATAGGTTTCTAAACTATAATCACAATTTGACTTTTTTCTTTTTTCGCTTGATTAAAATAAAATTATTTTCAGTGCCTTGTATATTCTCTTCTATAAAGAAGGCTTTTTCTGCACTCAAAGTACTATATTTGTTAAATTATATGAATAGATATTTCATAAACTTTGCTCAAAAAAATTCTTTGATTAAAATATTAATATCAGATATTTATTTGCATGGTAAATAAATATATTTGTTTGCTTTGGTTTTCATATTTAATTTGTGATATTTATATTTAATTCGTTTATAGATTACTCTGTTGTCAATAAACCGAGTGTTCCCTTTTTTTCGAAATTGTATACAAAATTTTGGTAACTTTTTATTGTTTAAAATTTAATACAATCTCCCAAAGTATTTTAAATGATAAAGAAAATGTCTACCTATTTAAATTGTATTTATTATTATTATATTTTTTCAAAACCTCGAAAAAATTTAACTTTAGTTAAATGTATTGAGAATCTAAAATTGTAATTATTTTTTAAGTTAAGTTTTTTAATAAATGTACCTTTTCTTTAATAAAATCTGTCATTTTTTCAGCCGTAAAGCAGCAATTATGCTTTTTAAATGATCGTAAGATGCATGCATCTGTTAGTTACAACGTAAAAAATTGTTAAATTGAAAAATGCAATGTTTTTTTTTCAATCAATCTCCATAGGAAACCAATTATAAATATTTGACCATATATGTCTCATTAATTTAAAATATCAAGCTTGCATTGCTATTTTCATTCACCATAAATAGCGTTTAATTTCATTGCAGTATTAATCAGCAAAGCTTTTAAAAATTATATGGTTTATTTGTGTCCTTACAATGTTTTCTCAATGAAGAAATATTTAACTTGTTTATTATTATTTAGATGAGTTTTTTTCATAAATTAAATGATTTGTATTGAGTAAGATTTGTTTTTTACCATTCAAGAATGAAATTCTTTAAGACACCAAATTATTTATTTGATTTTATGTCTCCATAACTTAGTTTAAAGAGACCCAGAGTCAAAATTTAAAAAGGTTAAAAACGAAATNATGAGTTTTTTTCATAAATTAAGTGATTTGTATTGAGTAAGATTTGTTTTTTACCATTCAAAAATGAAATTCTTTAAGACACCAAATTATTTATTTGATTTTATGTCTCCATAACTTAGTTTAAAGAGACCCAGAGTCAAAATTTAAAAAGGTTAAAAACGAAATTTTAAGAATTCATGAAAAAAAATATTGCTGTTTTGTCTTTAACACCTTATTAATTCACTAATTTAGATTCTCTAAACATTTTTTTTTTCTATTTTAAATTTGAAATTTGATTGCTCTTTTTAGCCAATTACGTATTTTACCAAATAAGGACGGTTGTTTTTGCATTAAGCCACAGATAAAATGTTCCTTATTAGCATATACACACAGAGATCTTAATTTCTGATATCTTTTGACGATGATCTTTAAGAATTCTTAGAACTCTATTAACTCTCTCAATGAAAACATGTTGACACATTATTATTGGCTACCATCACAGATCTTATTTATTTTAACATTTATTTTTATTAAAAACATTGATTTTATTGTTTATTGATGTTAACTCTTACATGGATGATGTGATATATGTGTTATTGTATAACACTTCCTTCAAATTCTCACTCAAAGCACATATTCCTTGTCTCTTTAATTAAATTACTGTCATTATTTTTTGTAAAACAACTATTAAGTAAAAGATATTTTTCTTAAAATGAAATCACATTTTGTAGAGACTGTATTATAAAACTGTAAATTCTGCTGTTGCTCCTGTAATGATAATTTTGTATTTGTAACATGAATTTTACGATGTAAAAAAATTTGCTTGTAATAAAATCTTGTTTTCTCATTAATTTGAACTTTTCTACTTTGCTTGAATTATATTTCACCTGTGTGCTATATTCTCACTTTTAATTAACTTTTCACTTACTAACATTTATCTTACAAATAATTTTAAATTTTCTTTTAAAATATCTCTAACAAAACTCTACTAAACTTTCTAAAAATATTTTACCAAGATTTTATTACGATTAATTTTTTTTACAAAGTTTTTTTTTCTATCTTAAGAAATTAGCAAGTAAAAGAATTTTTTACTCTTTAATCATTCTATTACAACGATCAGTTTGATTTTTTAGAAGTAATTCAGTTATTAAAACAACAAAAATACTTTTTTTAGCTGTAAGGTAATATATCTTTTTTAAAAACTCTTAATTGAAAATACGTTTTCCTTACTGGTTTGTATGCTTGAATTTTAAGATTTTTATATGAAATCTCATTAATATTTCATAGTTATTTTAGACATAGAAAGTTATACAACAAAAACTAAAGACAAATATGAATGTCTGAGGAATCCAATTGGTCTCCCAAAATAGTAATAATCAAGAGATAATGTATAACTTTTTTCTGACAAGGGAAATAATTCTCAATCTTTTAACTTACTTTTAGATATATATTTATTCAACATGTTTTTACAAATTATATTTTAATGATCTGATAATTAGGTTCTTGCACCTCCTAAATAACAGCCAGTGTATCAAAAATTACACTCTTGGTGATGGATATTTTTTTATGTTGCTTCCAGCTTGCATTGATCACAAAGCTAACATAAAATATTTTTAGTGGTATAGGGATCATAAGTTAAAGTTGGATTATGGCTTGACAAATTAGGAAAGGTTTTGGGGAATACTTATCCTCTTCATGTGATACAAGTAAATGGCTAGTTTATACAAAAAACAAAACAAAAAATTATTTGGGAAAGGAAATTATTATATTATTTTTATTCTCTATCATAAACTTTCAATTATTATTTTCTCAATCAGTTTCAACTACCATGAAAGATGAGACTTGCTAAATTTTATTTAAAATCCTCAACATATCAGAAAAATGTTTTCTTTTATTACTTTATTTAATCAGCAACAGAACCCATTTTTCGCTTTCAAATTATACAGAAAAAAATATAAGGTGCTCTAGAATTTTATTTTTATAGCTGTTTTCAATTTTAGAACTGTATTTTTACAAAAGAAGCTGCAATTTCTCAACAATTGTTTTTAAAAGAAAACTTTTTGCAAATATTAAAAAAATTTCTCTGACTGATGCTCAGCATTATGATAAGAAAATGAATTGAACACAATAACAATATTTCATAAAACATATCTTTGAAAAACATATAATAAATTTTAATATTAATGTATATCAATATAAAAATTTATGGATGATGGATTCCTTTTAATCATTGGTGTTGCAAAAAAATTTAAAACTTAACTTTAGATAGTATAAAATGAAGTATTAAAAGATTAAAAATTTATTTATTATGATGATATGATTGATAAATTTACCATAATTATAATTAATCATAAAACATTAAGCTGCTGATGGAGAATTTAAAAAAAATAAAGGCAATAATGGCTGTAAGGATTTGTAGAGTTGGATATTACTTTTAAGTTATAAAAATAATGTTTAAAAACACTAACATTTTAATTAGTTAAGTTATTATTATTTTTCCTCATCTATTTTCATCCATGTCAATGCTATGTTAGATCAATTGTTTTGATAAATTAAAATGTTCTTTAAAACAAAATAGAAAATTATTATTGCTCTATTTTGTGATACATAATTAAAATACATCATGGTAATCACAAGTTTAATAAAAATACAAACGTATTTAAAAAAGTACTAAAATTAAAAATTGCCGAAAATTAAAGTTCTAAAGTAAAATAATTATTGAAATTACATTGTATCCTTATTCTAAAAATGCTAAAGCTTCAAAACGGAAAATAATTTTCTGAATTGAAAGTATTCTTTTCTTATTTTGTAACTTGCATCCCTCATGTGTTTAGTTCTCAAACATTCTGTTTTTAAGCCTTGTATAAAAACTGTAATTATAAAATTTCTTTTACAATTGAGGGTTTTTCTCCTAAATCTTTCTGGACACCAAATGACTAACCTTCTATTGTTGTAATGATTTCATTTTTTAATAACTCTTACTGAAAAAGAATTTCTATATAAATAAATATGACGAATTCAGGTATTCTTAGATGTGACTTGTAGTCATAAATCACTGACAAATAGAGTTGTTCCAAAATTAAGTTTAAAATCTAATTCAGAAGACAAGAGAACTTTTTTTAAAAAAATTATTCTCCTCTGTGGTATTCCCTTACTCTTTTAGGGTTGAAACTAACCTGCATTTGTGTTACATTGAGAGGAAAATTGCAAATTCTGTTAGGATTAGAAATATGGCTTTGGGACTAACAAACTTTAACCTCTGTTTCACTTTTTGAGACATTTGGTTTATTGAATCTCACCACTGAAATCATCTGAATTGAATTTCAACATTGAAATCATCTGTTTCAAACCCGAATTGAATATCAACATTGAAATCACCTGTTTTGAACCTGAAAGGAATACCAAAATTGAAATGACATGTTCTAACCTGGTGTTGGTGTTGTCGTTTGACAAGTGCAGAAAAGTGCAAGTCAAATTGGACCAAAGGTATGGAGCACAGCCCTGGCCACATCTCCGACTTTTTCGGAATAAAGGGTGTAATGTCAGCAGTTGAGGTCGATGTTGAAGAGGGTCAAGGAAACTGAGACACAGTTGAACAGATGCCTCGGATCCAGCTGAGCACCCGGGCAGTGCCAAAAATCTGCATAGGTTCTAGAGCCGTCGGGCATGATCATCATACCCCTCATGTGTCCCGTCCGCAATCTGCTGATGGTAGTGGTGATTTCACGGTCAAGATTAAGCTCCGGAAGGCACCATTTTTTTTCGAAGTCCGCCGCAGAGCTGATGTTTTGCGACGGCATTTATATCGAAGCAAGTGGTTTGCGTGGGAAGGGGATTAATATCTAACCTGGTGTTTTGTACTAATAATCTGACTCTATCCGAGGTGTTGACATAGACTTTATTCTTATCTTTATTATTCTATACTTGCTTATCTGGATCGTTACAGATTTCTTATCAAGTCTAGTGGCATGTGAATAATTCAGCTGTCTTAAACAGTAAGGAAGTGTTAAACTCTTCTAAACAATCTTCAACTGTAATCAACAACAATCTGTAAAATATTTACTTATTTGTTATTAACTGCATTTCATGTTATTGTTATACTTATTATACCCCTAAAATTCTGTAATCTCCACTTTGTTTACTTCTACCTTTTGAGAATTTACAGAATTATGTTATATTAGCTGCAGTTCATCAATTTTTCTAGCTGTAGAATTAATAATTTGAGCAATTTAATGTTTTATATATATATTCACTGGATTTAAAACATTTGAATAAGATTATGTTTTATAATTTTGAGTTTTTCTTTAGGTTTCTTTTTTTCTTGTGATTTATCAAAAACATTTTATGTGATTTTTTTTCTTCTCATTTTTAGGAGTTATGATTTAGTGAATCTCAAAAGTAAAAATGAAGAAATGGTTCGGAAATTCGGTGCTCAACTAGCAGAAAAAGATCAAATGAGGTACGTGTCAATTACTAACTGACTTTTAAACTAAAAATTTTTTCCCTAAATTAAGATGATAAATCAATATTCTCTTTTATATTCTCAATTCTGGCTAATTTTCAGTAAATTAATGTGATGCCATAGCATATTTTTTTCTTGCATTTGTATTTTTAAATCAGCAGTTCAAAATGTCCTATATAATAATATTCATTTTCATGTTTCATGTAGTCAATGTTAAATTTTTGTTTCGTTCTATGTAGTATATTTTTGTATTTGTCTTATTCAAAGTCCTTAATGTAGATTATTTTTTCTAATGAAAATTCCTGCAATTCTAATATATAGTTGGTTTTTTAGAATTTGTAAAAATATTGTTAGGCATTAACCTGATCATTACTTAAGAAAATTTTCATTATATGCAGTGAAACGTGTTTATATTGACCACATTCGTTGCATTGCTTTTGTGCTTAATGTAGGCAGGTGGTCAACTTATTGAGAGGCGTGATGCATTGTTTGTTTTTTTCCTATCATTTCTTATATCATGTTATTCCTATATATATATCATGTTACTTATATGTTACTAACATTTCTTATATTATGTTATTCTTATATATATTGTGTTGCTCATATTACTTATGATATATGTTACCAATCATTTCTTATGTCCTGTTACTCCTATGCATATATCATATTATTCTTATATATATATGGTGTTATACATGTTACCAATTAAAATAAAGGTAAATGTACTTATACTTTTTGAACATAATGTTAACATTTTATTAATAATCCCATGTATCTTAACCCACTGACGGTTCTGCACGTAAAAAGTCGCATTTTAACCTGCAGTCTTCTCTGCATAGCAAAACCGGTTTTCCCATGTTAACTGATAGGGGAACTGTGTGTAGGGGAGAAACATTCTCCCAATTTTGCCCATTTCCTTAACCGCCAGTGGGTTAAAA